CAGCGCACCGCCTTCCTCCAGGACCAGGCGCAGACCCGCAAGGCCTGCCGAACCCGTCACCCCAGCTCCTGCCCCGGCGTCCACCGCCACCGCCGCCGCCTCGCCGTCAGACGACATGACGCCACGCACCCAGCTCGCCCTCGAGTCAAGCGCCGCCTTCAAGAGGCAGCAGCGCGCCCCGGCCCTCCTGCCAGCCGAGTTCCTCGCCTCAGACTCCGAGGACGATGACGACGACGACGCGGCACCAAGTGACGCCGCCGCCGGGGCCAAGTCCCGCCCGCGCAAAGCCCGCAAGATCGCCCTCGACAAGGCGCCTCGCGACGAGGTCGTCGGCACGACCGTCTACCGCGTAGCCAAGGCGCAGCAGGACCCGCGCCTCGCGCCGCGCGGCGGCCGCGCGAGCGTCAATGCCAAAAAGGCGCTGCTCGTCCGCGGGCGGGCGGCCAAGGCCGGGACCAAGGGTTTCTTTGTGAAATGAGGCCGCTGCTCTGCGAAGGGGCGGTGAGCAGACGGCGGGTACCAGTTTCGGGCCTCGTGTCTATGTCTTGAGCGCTGTGTGTAGTGTATATGAGAAATACGCGCAGAGAGGGAGGGACTCGCAGGAGCACACTTGGATTTGTGCTGGGTGTCTTCTTTTTCTGACGCACCAAACTTTAGATCACTGCGATTCCGTGGGGGACATGATATTCAGACTTCAGACTCGGAGTTATGAATGGGCGGTAATAGAATGAACAGACATCACCACCACTTAGATCTCGTTCATCTCTATGCGAAGAGAGATAGAGAGAGAGAGATTGCGTGTCCGAAAGTGCATCTAACCTCGGCATTTGTGTATCAGTGCTACAACTCACCCTGCCAAGCGGGACAGCTAGCGACAAGAACACGGAGCGGATGGCTTGCTTGACGTAACGCTCAAGAGCACATTCAAAGCATAAAATGATCAGAGCCGTCCACAGCACATTTCCATGCATGTTCGACCGCAAGGTCAAATACATCATGAATAAGCGACGCCGGCGCATGTCAAAGGTACCTGCACAGCCGGACCAAATCACGGGCACAGTCGAGCGTGGAATACGTTGAGAATTTTGCCAACCGTCATCACAGGGGCTTCTCACCCTGGAGCACCGCCGTCTTTCTGAAGCGCGTCTGTATCCTATGGACTCATCACAGAGCATCCGTCTTCTTCCATCTCCTTCTCTTTCCCTGGCACGCGGCCAGCCATCCCCGTTACATTACGACCGTAAGAGAAGTATCTACATGTCTCAGACAAACATGACTGTCATGACAAGCGTCGAAGCGGCAGCGCGCGCAGTTGACCTCATCTAAGAAAAAGAAAATGTGAGGGGTTGCGAAAACAGAAAACCTGGTATCTTTCCCTTGAAGAGCGCATCGCAATGCAGCAGCATGAAAACGACATGACGCGAAAAACTAGCTCAGATCCTCCTGAGGGCAGTAGCGTAAGTACAGATAGGCCAAGACCGGAAAGGGGGAAAACCGCAGGGGTATAAATGAACGACGTCAAAAAGAAGATCAGGAGTGCAACAGTCAGTTCGAACAAGTCGAACTGTGTATCCGATGCATCCCTGTCGTCCCTTTCCAGTGCCCAAGGTAACTCGGGATGAGCAGGGACCGTAAAATAGCATGAGCGGTGACGCTGCGGAGCGGTTCATGCCTCTTCCATGATGCCGACCTCACCGCCACCCTCATCGCGCCACTCACGACTCCTCTCTGTGAGCCGTTTCACGCCACCGACTCTACCAGACCAGATGGACTCGATCGGCGTTCGGAAAGTAAAGGCGCGTTGTGAGCTGATGACACCAATAGCTTGAAGCACAGCCTTGCGGCTGTCGCGGCCAAAGACGGCCGGATGGCTGATCCACTCGAGGCTGCTCTCGAGCTCTGCATCCAAGGCGGCCACGGTACTGGCGTCAATGCCAGTGCTGAGACTGAGGCCGTCGTGTGAGCGGCTGCGGCCAATGCCAGGCGCCGGGAAGCGATCCATGGCAGAGGATGTGGTAGATTGGGTAGGGGAAGGTGTGCGCTTGCGGTCCGGTGTGCCCGTGGTCGGGGAACCGTCCTGGGCTGGATGAGGAGTGGAAGGCAGCGACTTGTTCGGGGGCAGCGAGGGGACAGGCGGTAGCCCGCCCTTGCCGAGGCCCTTGAGTATGGAGCGTGTCTCGTTGAGAAGGGTGTGGGCACGGTCGTGCTGGCCGCGAGAGACGAGGGTCAAGGCGCGCGTAAGCATGTCCGACGTGAGGAGTTCCATCCGTCGCTGAACGATACCAGGATGGGGAGGAATGGGTGGTGATCCAGACCATGAGTTCTTGGCCTTGGCCTGGGCGGGGAGCATGGTGATTGCCAAGAGGGTAGGACGCGGCATGTGGGAAAGCGTGCCGTCCCTCAGGATGTCGCCCCACGTGAGGTCGGCCTGAATGAGCGGCACCTCCTCGACAGACGTCACCCGCTGCTCGTCGCTCTCGCCTGATCCACCCAGGGCCTCGAGGCCCGAGACAATGTTGTCCCACGGATCTTGAGGAAGCTGCTCTTGCGAGGCATTGTCGGGCAGAATGACGAGCTGCACCAGGATATCGCGCTTGTCACCGAAGCGGAGATCGCCCAGGGCGGCCTCAGCGTCTCGGCCAGTGGCGCGCTTGGTGATTTGCAGCGCCCCGCTGATCTTGTGGAATTTGGCCGGCGAGCCTTCGGGCAGCTTGAGCTTCAGCTTGACGTTCTGGTGGGAGAGGGTCTGCATGGCGCCCAGGCAGCCGGCGAGACACTCGCGGAGCATCATCCAATCCTTGACGTAGGTGTACGACGCCTTGGTCCTGCTCGACAGCTCGATCATGGTATCTGGCTTGTGAGTCATGCCCAACCCGAAAGAGTGAATAGTGATCCTGGCATGACAGTTAGCATCAAGCGTGGGCAGGCTCAAAGCGGAAGGGGGCACCGCGGGTTGAACGTACTTGGCAGCCTCGGCCCGAGACACGACAAAATCTACGCTATCCGCATCCGACGTCGAGGCATCACTGATGAGCATGATTGTCGCGATGGGATTGTTGTGCTTGCGTTGCATCAAGAGATCCATCGCCACATTGGCACCCTCAACGACGTCGGCTCTGTGGCTCTTCTGGCCAATCGGCTTGATGGCTGATAGGATGTTATTCCAGCCAGGCCAAGCTTTGGTCGTCATGCCCACCAATGGCACTCCTCCGCCGCCTGAACCAAAAGTGACGAGGCCCATCCGGTCGCGGTCGCCTAGGGTGTGGATCATGAACTTCAGGGCGTCACGAACGAGGTTGATCTTGACGCCCTGCATGGAGGAGGATATGGGAACAACGACAACGACGTCGATGGGGACGTGGACGGTAGCGGGCAGACCGGGGCTCCGTTGAAAGTTGGTGTATTCGGTCGGTGCTGTGGTCGCAGATTTCGCGCCTCCCCATGACGAGGCCACCGAAGACACACGCTGCGGGCGTGACCTTTGCCAGTCCTCTTCTTCCACCTCGGACAGGTCGCCGCGGTCGTATTCGGGGCTGCGGACGGGTGACGTCTCGACAGCATTTAGATCGAGTAGCGCTTGTTGCCAGAGCTTCAACTGATTGCGGTTCTCGAATCGCAGGTGGAACTGTGGCAGCTCGGCAACGGACAGGCTCAGGGTGAGGACGTTTTCGTCAACTATGCTTCGGTCAGCGTCAAGGTCACAGTCGCACAGAGCTCATCGACTCACTATTGCCCGTCTCGGTGACCTCATTCAGATGCTTCTTGATGAGGATAGAGCCCTTCAAGGTGCACCGGGTCGACTTCTTGGGCAGGCCGTTCTCATCCCACTGATTGGCCAGGATGACTTTCTTCTCCTTGACGCAGATCAACATCTCGGCGAAAAGGAAGCATTCCAATTCTTGCCAAGAAACCTTGTCCTTGCCGACACGAAGGGTTCCGTAGAGCCTCAACTTGCCAAATCTGGATGATAGTCAGTACGCTCATTGGTTACGCAATCATCCAATCACCGGCGGCAGCATGACTGACCTGCTGAAATCAAGACCGTGCCAGTTATCTACCCTATTCCTCAAGCTCTCCGTGATTTCTTCGAGGACCTCGGGCGATTCGTAGGGGTAGAATCGAGGGGCGCTCCTCGCTGGGGAAGGTGGTCTCGCGAAGGCATCTTCCATCTTGCCGTTGGGTGGAGGACCGGGCGGTGCCGCACCGAGATCCTCAGGGTCGGGTTTCCACTTGGTATCAGGCACTTCGACTGTGATCAGGCAGGTCAAAGTCTGCTGTTGCCTGGACCTGTTGATGGTCGGGAATTCAGATCGCACCGTCACGGTCGGTGAGGGAATTGGGTTCCTGGTCGCGCCGCGCGGGCTGCCGGGGGTCGTCTCCATCGCTTGCACGTCGTAGTCGTGTCGACGCGCCTGCTGGCCGCTCTGTGTGGTCTCCGGGTATCCTCCTGACGAGGCGACGCCAGTCGCCTCACTGTCGCTTCGAACATGCCTAGATGACGGACCATAACGCTCTGATGATGGGCCGTCCCGACTGTCCCGAATGCTGCCTCGCGGAATACTGTCCCTGCCGTTGTTGAGAGACTGCTGCTGCTGCTGTTGTTGTTGTCGTTGGTTCGACTCTATGCTTGTAGGTCGGCCCATTTGGGGCTGGGCATCCCACTGATGGGGTGTCGGTGTTGTGGTCTGGCTGGACCTCGTATCGTTGATTGAAACGGAGCGCACAAGGTTGCTGATTTTCTCTATAGTCACGAACTGCCGTCAGTACACAAGCTGAATGCGAAAAGAATGTTGCGCCATACCAATATCCAGAACATTGCCACCGCGGCTTGTGTCGAGATGCAACGGAGCATTACACGTGGGGCAATATTGCGATTCGAACTCGCGGATGAACTCGTAGAAGCAGGCTTCGTGGGCGACGTGGGAACAGGAGAATTGCAGTATGCGCTCGCCCTGCAGAGTATGTTCGAGCGGCTCCTCGCACACAGAGCACTCGCTGCCGACGAACGTGCGCTCACGGCGGTTGCCTCGTCGGTCTGTGTTGGTCGCCATGGTCGTGGAGCTGCGCACAGTCTTGGTGTTGCTATCCGTTGATCTCGCTGAGCCGGAGGATGCTGTGTGGCGATGACCTCTGTGTCCTCGTACGGTACCGGCCGCAATGGAGTGTCCTAAAGAGCGGGCAAGGTCAGCTCAACTGTGATGTCTTCCTTGTGCCCGGCGTGGAAGTGGGCGAAGGAACCCTGGCACAGATTGCCCCGTGGGTTGACTCACCCTTTTCGGGAAAGGTTGGTACGTCGCTGTCGTAGGGGTTCACACCGCCGGCGGAATATTTGGATCGCTGGGGATCCCGCACCGATATGGGGCTGACTAGGCCAAGCTCGAGCAAGGTAGACTGCGTACCCCTCGTGTGGTCGTCGTAGGTAGAAGCACTGGCACTGTGACCTTTGGGTGCCTTGTGCCGGCTGAACATGTGGGCGCAAGCTGTTCGGCAGTCTTTAGGACTGGAAACTTTAGGGGGGCGCTTCCTGCAGCGCCAAGACGGGATGCTCGCTGCTGAATATCCTGCTCCTCCGATTCTGGAAAAGGGGAGTACGCGATTCTCACAGGCTGTCGGAAAGCCAATGGGAAAAAAAGTTCCGAGAAACAATGGCGCTTTGAGGCAACTCGCAAAGCAGGGCGGTGGAGAAAAAAGCAACGTTTGAAGAATGCGGCCGAAAGGGTCGTGGGGTGGTTCGAGAGCGGGGTGTGACACGGGCTGCTGAGGAAGGCTGGAAAGATGTTTCAAATGGTCGTATCAAGAGTGCTGCTGGAGTAGGAAGATCGGGACAGCGCTGTGCATGGTTGCAGTAGGCGGGTCGTATGAATCAGTGGTGGGAGAGAGGACAGTTGAGTCGCGCGTCGTCAGAGGGTCAATGGCTCACGTCGCGCCCTTGGTGAGTGGTGGTGATTTGGGTGCGAAGAGACAAATGTCTTGCGCGGTGAAGCTGGACGCTGGCGGACATGCAAAGGTCCTGCAGTCGTGCCTCTCTTTTTCTTCTTCTTCTTCTTCTTCTTCTTCCTTTCCTGTCGCCTGGGAAGAGACAAGGGTTGACGGGCGCCGGAAGAGCAGCGATTTGCGTTCGGATGGACCCAGTCCGTAACTGTCCAAGGTGCCGTTGCAGAAGAAAAATGCGCGGGCGTGGAATGCTCCAAAGCGTGGTGTCGCGGGCCCTCCCTGAAAGCAGAGGGTGGGTGGTGCGTCTTGTCGCAGGCGATCTGATCCGAGACCTCGGGACGGTCTCTGGTGCGGGCCACCAAAGTGGAAGCACAAGCGCAAGCGAGGTATCGACAGACCAAGCTTCTTGGAGCTCGCTTCGTGAGAACAAAGGATCGAAGCGTGTGCGGTGGAGGCCAAGGCAGAGCAGAGGTTTGAAAGGGGTCCACGCAGAGGCGTCGTCAAGAATGTAGGTCCCAAGGGAAGGTTATACGTAGAGAGGACGGAAAGGGGAGAGGCGAGAGATGCAACGGTAGCAGCAGTTCGGGCGAGTCTGGGCAAGGTAGGGTGATGTAAGGTAAGGCAGGGCAGGTCCTGGAGCAGCAGGGTGACGGAGGACAGGGACGGGGACGGGGGACGGGGGCGGCAGGGAAGGGGATTTTTTGGACGAGGCAGACGAGGCAGATGAGGACCAGGTCCGGCGTCGAAGTGCCTGCAGCGGAGCGCACCTTCCAGCGACAGAGGGGCAAGGCAAGACGAGACAGGGAGGGTAAATTCTGTACCATGTAGCAATGAGCAACGGGCAATGGAGTTGGGATGGATGGGATGGGCAGATGCATAGGTAGGCAGATGCAGAGGCAGGGTTACTAGCCAGGCAGGAGGGTACCTGACCTGGCGCAGGTACCTTGCCTCCCGGAGGCAGGTACCTGAGTTGCCGTACGGGCGCTCTCTCTCTCTCTCTCTCTCTCTCTCTCTCTCTCTCTCTCTCTTTCCCTGCCATTTGCTTGTGTGCCCTTTCCTTACTTCATAGGGTACTGTACAGTACCTTAGGTAGGTACCTTAGCATTGGTACAGTACGTGAGCAGGTCAGGTCACTCACTCCTCAGGACCCATCCTGGTCGGCCAGGCCAGCCAGTTCTGCCTCCACTTCCTTTCCACTGCCTTTTGCCTGTCTGCCATGCATATCGAGCCCCGCCCCCTAAAGACCAGGGGGTGGGAGGCCAGCAAGCCAGCAACACAGGGCAAGCTAGCAGACCAGGTTCTTTAGCCCGGTAGCTTCATATGCCCAGGGCTTGGACCCGGCATGCTCCCTGCTGCGCCGCCAAGGCCTGTAGGCGGACACTCCCTGCACCTGGCACTGCACCGAACACACGGACCACCGACCCGGCCCCGGCCCCGGGCTTCCTCCCCCCCTCTCTAGCAGTTTTCGTCCGCCCCTGGTCGGCCAGGTCTCTGTACGCTGGAAGACAGTCGATGGACGATGGACGCTGGAAAATAGTCAGTGGATAGTGGACGATGGGAATGGTAAGCTGGGAAAGCTCGGATGGCACGCCAGAGGCCGTGGTGCCAGGTACTCTTTTCTCCCACTCCTTGCCTTCCACCCTGCTTCCTCCCACACACTCTCTTCGTCCCCTCCCCACCCCCATTCATCATCCCTTTATCCCCATCTCAGCAGCAACAGCCATGGAAGGCATTGCCTCTGTACATGGTACCCTCCATCTTTCGCTGCTGTCTCACATCCCCCCTCCTTCTAGGCCGCAACAAGCTCATGCTCTCTGGCACTTTTTTCTTCTAGCGCCTCCCCTCACCCCCCGCCCGGATTGGTGTAGTGGGCTGCGTCGCGTGTCTCGTGGGTGGTCGAGGTAGGTACTGTACTTCCTCAGCCCTCGCCAGGCCGCACCGTGTTCCTGTACAGGTACCTCACCCGCAGCCATGACACGAGCCGTCTCAGTTGCCTCTTCCAGTCCCAACTGGCTCAATCCAGTTCTTCTAGAAACAACGCAAAACGCCCCAATCGGGGGGCAGGGCACGAGGGACCTCATGCTCCGCACGGGACTTTCAAAGAAAGTCGTGAATGTCAGCTCACTCTTTGGGCCCGCGTGCCCCTAATGTAGGTAGGGACCCCCAACAGCCGACAGCAGCTTCTACTCACTTGGTAGGCACCCCTTTCGACAGCCTCCCCTCCTTCTCCTGACCCCGGCTCGTGTTCCTTTGATGTGCCGAACCTTGAATTGGGCCCTCCTCGTGCGCGCGCGCCCTCCAACTTGGCCCTCCACTTCGCTTACTCGTGGGTAATCCAAGTAACCCCGAGTGTGTTGCGCATGGGGGACAGGAGGGCCACACCCTGAAATAGCCTCCCGCAGGTCATGAAGCCCGCGAAGGGACAACCGCTGGGAAGGCTTGTTTGCGTAAGGTCGTCTCTGCAACGCGTGCAAAGTAAAAAAGGAGGACCATCAACTGACGTGCAGTGCATGTGCATAGGCTCCCACAGTGACTACTGTAGGAGCACATATATGTACTCTCTGCAATGGCCCTTTTTCCCACATGCCCACTCGCGCTGGAGACCGTCTCGGAGCACTGGACAAAACTGGCGGATCGTCACCAGCCCGCAGCCCAGTCAACGGGAGGAGGACCTCGCCGGAACGACTTTACACCAGCGACAAATATGAACACACAAAAAAGTGGGTTCGCCTTTGTTCCGTCATCACCTGTGCCATCGTCTTTCTCCATTCGGTCGCCTGCTTTAGCTCGGGGTTTCGTCTCCTCCAGCTTTGGTGTTTCTTGAACCACCACGCTTTTGGGTTGCCCGCTGTGCATCCCCTCCGGGCTGCTACCGAATTGCCGGTTTTTGTCAGCGCTGAATCTTTGCGGCAGGGTCCCCGGTCCCGGTATTGGATGGTTCTGAGGCACTCGTCAGATCAATTGGGAGTGACAGTGTACTGCGCCTCAGCCTCGGCGAACCTTTTTTTGATTTGTTTTTCCCCCTCTCGCTTGGTCTCGCTGTGCGGCCATGTCTGCGGACCCGGCGAAAGACATCAAAGGTGGCAGAATGACACTTGATGCACCTTCAGGGGTGCCGCGCCTGGCGGCCTGGGGGCTCATTCCGTTCTTCCTAGCTCCATTTGCCCCCAGTCCCTGTGACGCCAGCCCACCCTGCCCTGGTCATCATCCCCGACCACAGGCGGGCCTGTCCGTCCCTCAGCACTTCTTTCGCCCTTTGACTGGCCCGCCTCGAGCCCGCTGGTTCGGGGTGGCCTGTAGCGTTCGGGCTGTCGCGGAACTCTTGGAAGGGAGGGGGGAGGGTACTTGGGACCGACTGATGGGAGCATGCGCAAAGGCATCACCAACCTCTTAGCAAACTCACATATGGTTCATCACCGCCAACTGACCACCTTTTGGGTCTTAGTGCCACAGACCTGTCGCATTTGAGGTCAGGCCATCTGCGCGGTTCGGGCGTCAATTCAGGAACGGGACGGAAGCCACAGTCCTACATTCGAGCTGTCCACCGTCATCTACTGTGTTCTCTAACCCTCTCCCTCTCCCTCTCTCTCTCTCTCTCTCTCGTGAGATCCCACTTACAACAAAAAAAAAAAAAAAAAAAAAAAAAAAAAAAAAAAGCAATGTTGGCCTCTCTCGGCAATGGCACTCCAGCCCATAACCCTTGTGTGAAGTTGAGTCAGTGGTGAAGCGAGGGGCAGCCGGGAGGTCACTCGAATCAGGAGGTCTACCCATGGTTGTCCGGAAATGGTCGTCGCCCTTCTCCGCCTGGAAAAGCCCGTCGTCGAGGTGTGGAAGAGCAACATGCAAGGAAACGGATCCAGCTTCTGGCTGCAGAAGCGTACCATGTACAGAGCCTACCTGTACCTGCCTAACTTTGCAAGGATTGACGGAATATAGGGCGAGGCGGCCATGGCCGATACCCCGGGCAGAAGAGAGGTACTGAGAAACCGATCTAGGCGAGATTAGGGGTTCGTGGGATGCGTTTTGTCTGGCAAGTAACGGTCGCCCCCACGACGTCTTTTGAATTCGCGCTTGCCGTGCATATTGCCATCGCAAGCAAGGGTGGCTCTGATATTGAAAGTCGGGCAAAGTGCTAAACACCAAGCAAGACGTGGCACTGGCGCAGTTCCACGTGGGTGGACGATTTCTCCGATTGAAGGGAGGGCGTTTTCTTGCCACCGCCTCGTGTACATGAGAGTACAATCGGATTGCTGTCATGGCGTAAGAAGGGCCGAGAGGGGGAGGCAAAGTATCGAGTCGTTCAAACGAATCCTTCGGATGAAATCTCTGGTGCGTACTCGCTGACAGCAGCCGCTCGACTATCGTAAGTCCCTTGCTGAAAAAAATAGTCTCTCGGAGTGCATCGTAGCATTGAAGCTGACTCGGACTGATGTTACTTCGCCATGTTGTTAACCCCAGTTACAAGACGACCGAGGAGTCTATTGGGTCTGACCCCGACCCATCGAGGCGGCGAGCGCGGCGGACATCGCCCCAGC